TACCTTGTCAGTAATATCAATAATATATTATAATTATTATAATTGTATAAACCAATATTCAACAACAATTCCACAATTATCCTCCCTTAGTATCACCTTTCAATACTTAAACAGTCCTATGTAATAATACTAGTAATATTCTATTTGATTAATTTGATTAGTAAATATCATAAATTTATACACCACACCCTATTCTTATATCAATAAATATCTCTCAGTTTTGTTGGTTGTTCAATATTCAATATTCAGTTCTAATAATTAGTCTCTCTAAGTCACTCTCTTCTTGATGTCAGTGTTAGAGTCCACGAAGCAAAAGACAGATCTCTATTTCTTGTCTTTGGCACAGCTCCAAGCTCCCAGTCAGATCAATATAAAATATTTAAGAAATTCAGCCCAGCGGCAGAAGAGCTGGTAAGCAGAAAAAAAGGAAACTCCGTTTGCCAACCCGACTATTATGCAGTCACTTCTTTAAACCTTCCAAATCGTTCCGGCAAATTTTGTTCCCTGAAGTCCATGTCGGGATTTCGTTCTTACTGTGGCTGATCTTAAGATTGTTGCGGCTGTCCCTTCCTGTCCGTTCTAACTCAGCCTCTTTGCACTGCTTCTTTTTGGCAAACTTAAATTGTAAAAAAAAAACAGCCTCTCTCCTAGCTCCTTCTTCTCTCAGCTCACCCACTTTGCCAGTTTTGCGTTGCTTTCCTCTCTGGATTGTCGGCAATAATAACAAGTACCCGAATTCATCTGCTTCTATTTCTGTTTCTTCCTTCTGTGCGGCCGCCATTTCTCAGTCCTAACCAGATGGTAGGATATTTCTTTGTCCATTTAGGGGGGGTTCTCCTATCTGCCGGGGGATTTGCCTTACCACCCCGGTGTCTGCAGAATATCCCCTTTGATCTGCTGGTCTCTTCGGGATCAGCAGTGCCCCAAAAATGAGCCCACATGAAGAAATTAGAGCTAGGGGTTAGAGGAGCTCCCTTACCCTGCTCTAGGCACAGTGACGTCACCACCCGGAACAGGGAGCTTTTGTTTCATAATGTTTTCATTCTACTACCAAGGTCATTGCAGAAGAAACCAAGTTCTCTTTTGGCAGCTGCCATTTTTCTGACACACCATTGTCAAAGAAATAATGCTGTGTTATAATTTAGCAAAATTTAAATATAGCTTTAGGGACATTTTCACATTATGTCTTCTTATTATACCTTAACCCCTGCTTTACACTGGTTAAAATACCCTTGACCCCCTAAGAAGGCTATTATATTTCTGTCATTTAGTTAGAGGAACCCACCGGACCTAATGGGTAATTCAAAAGTTATAAGCTTACCAAAATCCCTACTGACAAATCAATACTTTTCTGTAGATTTTTTAGCTCTCTCTAAAATGATGGAGCATTGATCTTAGGTTTTTCTGAAAGCAAAACCAAACACAAGTCATATTCTTTTGTGTGTGTGCCTGGGTGTGTGCACACAGACAGACATGTAAGTAAGTGTGCATTGCATGAAAAGAGAAAGACAGAATAGAAACTAAATTTGCTGCAGCTCTAGTTTTTTCCAAATGCAATCTTAAAAATATATTTCTGTAACTGATAAATAATGTAACAGCAATAACTTAGTAATTAAAGAATGCAATGTAATTGCTATGGAAGGCATTTTTATGCCACTCCGCTCTCAATTCCAACAATGTTATTTCCAGAAGTCCCCCCGCCCCCATCCTTCTTCATATTTTGGAATTAGTCTGACACACAAAAGGATTCTTTTTATGAGTGATTGATATAATAATTTGGATTTTAGAAAGAACTAACATGTGGCAAATTACTTTGCTGTTAATACATATATGCCAGTAAGAATTATTATTAATTGCTGTTGTTTATCATTATTTAACTGTGTTTTCTTCTACCCTTTCTCAGGCTGTTGAAAGCCTCTTCAGTGCTCTAAATCAAAATCTGGTCCAATTTGAGTTGAAGCCCAGTGTCGAAATAATTGTTTACGTCACTCAGTTAACATTAGGTAAGTTGGCATAGGAGAAAAGATCTAGGGAACACAATGTAATATCTTATGATCAGCTTATATTTTTCTGGAAGGAAAATAAATATTAAAGAAAGCTATCATATTGATCCCAGGCATTGTTCTTGGATAAATTGGCATTGCAAACTTTTAGCAAACATTCAGAAAAGCTTGTTAGATATTCTGGGAGCTGTCCAGATGCCTCTTAATGGCACTAGGTGAGTGAAAGCACATCTAAGTAGGATTCATTTAAATATGTTTCAGTTGAAAGAAAATGAACAGAGAGATGCTTGAGAAACCCCTACCCATAAATCTAGGTTTAATTGGCGGATAAAACAATTGAGATACCCAATTCAAAGAGACAAAGAGTTATTTTTGAAAAGACTTAATCTGGTACTGATTGATGTTCAGTAGGAATGAAAAATAATGTATTCGGATTTATAAAAAATATAATTATGGCATATAACAAGAGATTTGTTTCTCCAGTTTTTTGTCCTTCAATTAAAACCTAGTCATACTTCTGTTTTTATAGCCTAGTACAAGAAGAACAGAAAACACTGGAATTTTATTTGGTTTTCCTCCCATAAGAAGCAAATAGAAAATATAAGAATATATATAAAAAGAAAATATAAAGTTTTCTTCAAGTAGATCTCAACTCCTGGTGACTTCATATTAAAATTAAGGGCGGAGGGAATAGAAAGTGATTAGCTATTGGCTTTTCAAAACTAAAAAGATAGTTGATAATTGAAAGCAATTCTCTTTTATCAAATTGATGAAAAATGAGAAAAGAATGAAGGATTTGTTTTCTGCATAGCATTAAAAACTACATCCGACATTATTATACAGTCATTTCTGAAAAGGATTGACTTGAGTCTTTTGCAAACACTATTCCCGATTAGCATCTGTCTCCACCATAGTTGCAATATATCAAATGGAGAACACCAAACAGGAAGCAGATGCAAAAAGATCATATGGTATGAATGAAATGGTTTAGTTACTAGGCAACCTGCTATTTCTTTTTCATTATAGAGCTACTTGGAACCTTGAAGGTTCCAAGGAAGTAGTACTGATCCCTCACCATACCTCTGACTACAGCACAAACACACACACACACACACACACACACACACACACACATCTTGTTAATGATAATAATCTAGCAGCAGCAAAGGCATGAGACTGATACATCCTGCCATCTGTACATTTAATGATTACATTTTATGTATAATATGATCTTTTTCTACCCCTCAGCACCTCTTGTTGATTCTGGTGCAGGGCACAGCAGCTCTGCAATGCTGATGTTGCTCTCAGTGGTCTTTGTTGGCTTGGCTGTTTTTTTAATCTACAAGTTTAAAAGGTATGTTGGTACTCCTTTCTGCTATTCACAAAAAAATCTGCTAACATAAAGCAAAGCAAAGCAAAGCAAAGCAAAGCAAAGCAAAGCAAAGCAAAGCAAAGCAAAGCAAAGCAAAGCAAAGCAAAGCAAAACAAAACAAAACAAAACAAAACAAAACAATTTCCTATAAATCGATTTAAGAATTCAGGAAAATATAGGAAAGAGGCAGANAAGAGACAAACAATAAGTGAACAAAATAAAATGGTAAACCACAACATGCATTCAACAGTCAACACTCGGGCGGGTAAATTGGAAACCTATCCCCAGGCCTGCTGGGAGAGCCAGGTCTTGAGGGCTGTGCGGAAGGTCTGGATGGTGGTGAGGGTACGAATCTCAACGGGGAGGTCGTTCCACAGTAGATAACATGTGGCAACTCCCCTTTCCAAAAAGGGGAGTAATTTGGTGCTCTTAACATTGCTAAGTTAAGGAACATTAAGTTGTCATTCTATCCTCCTAACTTAACATGCACAGGTCTTCCAAAAGTATCATATAGTATAAAATCACAACATTATTCACATCACTCATCGTCATTACATAACATTACACATTACACAGCAAGAAAACTCTTAAATTATTTCAAATATGAAAACAGATCTGCTTTTAGGCAATGATTACCCACTATAAATACACTAGGCATATATTTGGCTCACAACTTCATTTTTTTTTCTGCCATTGTTTAGAGTTTGTTGAGAGTTAAATGACTTAAAAACTACAGATATAGCAATAGCATGTACTAAAGAATCCTCTGTTTTCATTTTCTCTCTCTCACTTTGCTTAGGTTACTGGTATTCCCATGGAACAAATTCTTGTAGCAGTATTCCCTGGATTGCCTACCTCTGCTGAGCTCTTCATTTTACCACACCAAAACATATCAGAGAGAAGGAAAGATAGTGCAGATGATTTGGAGCAGGTGAGGTTTTCCTTCTTTCAGTTGGTTATGTATTCCTCCAACTGTTAAACAGGCCCTGACCTGAAGATAATTTCAAAATATTGTAATCTAGGGCAGGGTTTCTCAACCAGGGCCTTTTGAAGATGTGTGGACTTCAATTCTCAGAAGCATCACTGGCTAGAAAATTATGGGAATTGAAATCCACACACTTTCAAGTGGCCAAAATTGAGAAACACTGATTTAGAATGTTTAAGCTTGCCAAACGTTCTGTATAAATATTGATTTTGCCTTTAAACTGGTGATTGACAGCCACCCAAAAATGGAAATCATCAAGTGGATTTTCTGAGTATATGATTTCCATTTTTAAAATTTTATTTTTAAAATATTTATTTTTGACGGGTTGACTTATTAAAATTTTGTTCTGCAAAGATTTGTTTTTTTGTTCCTTCAAAACAATTTTTGACTCTTATGTCCTACAGATTTCTTGGTAAGATTTCAAAAGTGATTTGCCATTGCCTGCTTCGTCGGATTGACACAAGGTGACTTGCACAAGGTCACTCAGCTGGCTTTGTGCCTAAGGCAGGACTAAAAGTCATGGATTCCCAGTTTTTAGCCTGATGCTTTAACCACTGCACCAAACTGACTCTCTCTGCAAAGATACTAAATAAATAGAAAGAGATTTATTAAAGAGATTGGAAGGAGAAAAACATAATATATGCTTGAGGAAAAGAAATCCAATGCTATGCTTGCACAAATAAAAGTACTAGAAGTTAGGGACTATAAAGATGGTTTTAGGATCCAGATAAAATATATAGGAAGAAATATATCACTCATTAATTCATCATGAATAGAACCATGGTGATGCAGGGGTTAGAATGTAGTACTGCAGGGCTAACTCATTGGTCATTCCAGGAGTTCAGTTTTGAGCAGCTCAAGGTTGATTCAGCCTTCCATCCTTCCGAGGTTGGTAAAATGAGGAGCCAGATTGTTGCTGGCAATATACTGTCTCTGTAAACCGCTTAGAGAGGGCTGTAAAGTACTGTGAAGTGGTATATAAGTCTAAGTGCTATTGCTATCACTAGGTTTATAATTTATATTCCTATTATTACAACTCTGAATAACTTTATTAACAGCTGTATGTAACAGCTGTATTAACAGCTGTATGAACTATCCTCTGCTTGCTATTTTCTTCCAACATGATTGATAATGCTCATGAGCACCAGCAAATTAAAGAGAATTAGTTGTTGCATTCTATGCTGCCTTTGATTTGTCTTGTGTTAATCTGAGGACAAGGATCTCTGCATCTTATCTTTGCTCTATCCTACTTTGCATCAGATGCAAATTACTTCAACATGATTACAAACTGTTGATCTTTTTTTCTGGTTTTAATTCTTCAGCTTTGTACATACAGACTATTAACATGAAGTGCATAAAAACTGAATGTGGTTTAGATGACAACTTCATGAGCCCTTTCTGCACTGAATTTTGATTACAATCTCTTGCTCATCTGGAAGTAAATTTTCTTGAACTCAGATAAGCATACTTTTAGTAGATGTGTATAAAGTTACACTATTAATCAACATTAACTGGATTAGATAGGCAGTAGCTAAATCACAGTGCAAAAGAAATCCTAAAGCAAAAGGCAACCAATTCAAGGTTGCTTTTTGAGCTGCAACAAAACATTCAAGTTTGTACCATATTAATGGACTGTGTGGGATACAAGACAAATGGTAATAGCTGTAGAAAGCAGTATGTATAGTAATGCTGTAATAAATTCCCCTAACTCAGAAACTGGCCACACTTTTGATGTGGTTTAATTTTGAATGATAATTCTTCTGGCAGTTAATTTTTTTCAGGAAGCTGAGGCTGGTAGGGCAGTTATACAAAGTGGTTGTGGCCTCATGATAAAATAGAGATGCTAAAATTTTCCTTTTTGCCCACACTAACAGTTTGTGTGGCCGGAAAACATATGCTTATCTCATTTCAAGAAAATTTACTTCAAGATGAGCGAGAGACTATAATCGGTTTTCCTTTTTGCTTAACCCTAACATTTCATGTTTCTTTGTTTGTTTATTTCCCTTTACCAAAATAGTACAAAGTGTTTCAATTGATTTCCAACAATCATGATCAGTGAGTGGCAATGAAAGGGGTTGCCCAAGTCTGGATTAAATAAAAGCTCTCTTGTTGTTTGCTCAATAATTCTTTTCTAAAGCCCAAACATTTTTTTGCCTATATAAGCCACCTTCCCTTTCCCCCCTTTCTTTTTTTCCCTTTTCCATTTTAATCTTGTTTTGAATTCTTTGAAATATAGAACAGTGTCACAGTATACAACTGCCTCTGTCATTACTATAGACAAATATAATTGTATCAAATTGATTTTCACTGTTCTAGCGAGTTTCTGACATGCCAACTGTACCAATATTCTCTTCAGGCAATTACTGTAATTAATATAATCAAAATTTAATGGAAAATACTGTATGTGGAAAAATTATGTAGAATACAATATTTCAGCAGATGAAGTTTTCCCTGTCTTTGTACGTTACGTTTAGCTTATGCCTGTCAAAATCTTTATTCCACAAAACAACTAAACACAGGGAACTTTAATTTTTTTAAAGATTTTCTTGCCCTACACACTAGTGCTTTTCCAGATTAATTGACTCCTATTTCATTTGTTCTAACCCACTTCAACATGCCAGATTTGATCTTTAAACCTGTCCTAATATGTGACCAAGAGAATTGAATGACAGCCTTTATGCTCTAATCCAGACTTTGAATTTTTACTTTCAGGAAGTTTACTGAGGAAAAGGACTTTTCTATTGACATTATTGTACTTTATCTGTCATATTGTCTCTTTGTTCCCAAGTGAAAATATCTTTCCTCCTCCTTTAATCAGTTCTGTGCTTCAGTTCACAATTCTAGTGATCAGAGATATTCTTTGTGAAATTTCAAGGAGAGAGTCTTATAACAGGACCTTAGAGCAAATTTCATTACTCTTGCTGATAGCCTGCTAAATAGGCATGGGTGTCTAATAATCCATAGCATATATATTACAATTGTTCATATAAGTTTTGAGCTGAAAGATTTCAAGTGAAAACATATGATAAAGTGAAATGGATGTGATTTGGGAAGAGGGAGCTTTTGTTTCTTTTTTCTTTTTTAATTTTATACTCATAAGCACATCAACAGAACACATAAACACATTAACAAAAATAACCACATAACTT